CCCCCCCCCCCCCCCCCACTAGAAAGGCCTCAAAAGTCATCAAATTTAGGTGGAGTCACTCCTTTTCTGTAAAGTCTGGACCCGCTGTTGTTGCCTCTGCCAAAAAAAAAAGGTTCTTGCAACGAAGATACAGCATAGTAGTCTCTCCTGTCAGAGTCAGGAAAGAGGCAGCCTCTGTCCTTGCCATACCCACAGAGCACACCTGAGCCCGAGCCCACTGTCCCCCTCACCTCCCATCCTCTCACAATAAATGTTCAGAAATTCAGTAGGAAAGGGAAAGAGAGGGGAGATGACCTGTGCTGGACTGAGCTTTCCTTGTGCTCCTGCTGTCCCGCCCGTCCCCTCTGCTCTCTCCACATCCATTCAGCATCACCTCCTGCTCTCTCACAGGGTCTCAAACATCTTCTTTAATGTTTTTTTAAACCCTACGCTTAAGAAAACTCATATTTACCTTTAGAATTGCTCTTCCTTTCCTGAGAACGTAATCTTTTATCCTGGACTTTCTGGAGGATTTGTTTCAGGGAAATGACACTGTACACATGATGTTACTTAGAGCAACATATAAATACTAATTCCTTATATAATGATAATTCTCACTCCATGCGTGAGCTTGTGAGAGAAGCTCTGGGACTGACTGGTTCTCACACAGCTACAGCACAAGGAGCAGTTCCAGCCCCTGCCCCAGGAAAACACAGCCAGGAAGGGATCCCTCACGCCTTCGCCGTGTCTACCGAGACTCTCAACAACCCCGTATTCCTCCGAAATCCCATACGTGTTTCACCTTTGGGTGAAAAATGTTTCTTTTCTCATCTTCTCGAGCTAGACCTGTAACAGTGACATGGCAAAGGGCTCTGTTGGCAACTCATCTCCTGAATGATCGAAGTTAATTGGCTATAACACAATTAATTGTGGATTACTGGTGAGAGAACTATTATTTCTGTAAGTAATGGATTATTTCCACGCTCCTAATCCGCAAGGCACTTTGAGAATGCCCTGAATAAAGAATGAGTAGGGATTTCAGAATGTGGCTCACCATTTGTAGGCGTGACTGACATCATTTTAGGAGCAGAACCCTCATTCTGACCTCTCTGGAAAATCTGCAGCTGTATGCCTGTGTAGTAACGCTGACTGCAGTGGAGCTACTTACTTCCCACTCAAATATCCTTAAATTAGGAAATCAAGACCTTCGACTTTTCAGGGTTGTCCCTGTTCACGTGTTGGAGTCACACAGCAGCTTATAACACAGCACATACTCCACCGGATCATGTTGGTGCTTTGTGTTTTAGGACAGAAAGCACATGGACGAGTTGTAGTTGGTAATAACAAGAAGGGGATGGGAGACATACAGTCAGTTATCCATTAGAGATTAAAGACTGGTTCTAACAGTGACAGCATCCCATGAGATAGTTATAAATAATAACAACTTCCAAGGTTGTGAAAGACTTTCAGGCAGGAAAGTTTCGTAGAAGGCCCACAAAAACTTTCTGCTAAGGGCCAGCAGGTGTCAGCAGAAAACACAGAATTAAAAAAACGTCCAGCACAGCAGACAAGACAGATAATCAAAAGCCACTGCAGGAGAAGAGCAGGATCCCCCCCAAAGCCTTCCTCATCCCCATCATCTTCTTTCTCATTTGGTTTTTGACTAGTGCCAGAGAGCAAGATGTGATTCTGCCAGTAAATCCCACCAACGTGAGGAAAAAGGGTCTCCCAGTCTCCCACGGAGCCTCGGCGCTGGACGGGGACACGGGGCTGTCCCCTCTCCAAGGGGCGAGTGTTTCCGTGTTTAGAGCAGCCCCTCAGCAACACGTTGTCCAGCCAACCACCTCAGGAAGTCCCGATGTGTCGGCAAGCAGGAGGGCATCACAAAGCAGCCTCTTTTCTGCCCCTCAAGTCCTCCAGCTGCAATCCAGGGAAGGCTGGAGTGCCCTCCAGTCCTGCGGTCCGTAGCGTTTGGGAGTCGTTGCATGGGATTCACCTCCTCCCACTCATGACGTGTCAAGGCTGGGAACTGCACCAAAACAAGACTCTTCTTCTTCTTCTGTAACTGATCAAGAGCGATTCACCCCATCTTCAAACAGCTGTTTGAGACAAAAAGCCCACTTTGAACTTCTAAACAATCTTTCAATATTGTCTCCATTTCGTGCTTTTTCTTGCTTTCATCCTCTTGCTTAGGAAATGAGTCAGTCGAGACTTTCAAACCAACTGAAATCACCCATTGGCGTGGATCTACTGAACCAACTTTCACCCTGCTCAGTCTCCTCCCTTTCTCCAACTCTATTTTTATTACCATATGATTCCTATAACCAGGTTTCCATAAAGAAATAACACATTCCCCCAGCCTTCACGGTGAGGCAACTTGGAAGTTACTGTATTTAACCAAACTGGAAGCAGAGTGGGAAAAATTAAAAAATAGGTTGGATATCCCAGATAATTAGACTACCCCAGATAATTTTTCTTTTGCAAAGCTGCTGCCCTTTTCTTGTATGAGCTGTTGCAGGCATCTCAGCTCAATATGCCTCACCAGGCCAGGTCCAGCTCCCCTGCCCAGCTCCTCTCGCTTTGCTGCCTCCCAGTTCTTCCCATCTGCTGTCATACCCTGCTCTTTGTGCCCCAAAAGGACGTATGACATGAAAATGTCACCAAGACAAGTCAGTATGTCACCACACTGACAACACCGCATGATTTACCGTTCGGTTGTCTAAGTCAAGCAGGTCACCAGAAGCCACCCTGTCCTGCGAGCATCTTTACCTCGGGTAATACTTTCTGGATACACTGACTTAGCGCGCAGTTCACACATCCCTCTTCATCTACAGCATTTCAGAACAGAAATAGGAAGTTACACCTGTACAGCGTGCAGAGACCCAAAATCTCCGTGAAGTTTTAACTGTTGACCTAGGAACGTGTGGTCTGACATACACTACTATGTGTAGTCTATTTAATGTCATGGTCTAAGCCCAGCTGGTAACTGAGCACCACAGCCACTCGCTCACTCCCTGCAAGCTGGATGCAGGAGAGAACAGGGAGGGTAAAAATGAGAAAACCTGTGGATTGAGATAAAGACAGTTTGATAGGTAAAGCAGAAGCCACATGCACAAGCGAAGCAAAACAAAGAATTCAACCTCCACTTCCCATGGGCAGGCAGGCACTCGGCCATCTCCAGGACATCAGGGCTCCATCAGGCAAAACAGCAGCTTGGGAAGACAGGTGCTGTAAGAGAAGCCGGCGACAGAGAAGACCACCCTGGCTGAACAGGGAGCTTTGGCTGCAACTCAGGGAGAAATGGAGAGTTTACAGCCTTTGGAGGAAGGGGCTAGCCACTCACAGTGATTACAAAGAGCCTGTGAGGCTGTGCAGGGTGGAAATCAGGAGGGCTAAAGCCCAGCTGGAAAATAATCTGGCTTCAGAATCAAGGACAAGAAATATTTGTATAAATATGTCAGTAGCAAAAGAAAGACCAGAGAGTTTCCACCCCCTGCTAGATGCGGGAGGAAACATGGTAACAAGTGATGGGGAGAAGGCTGAGGTGCTTAATGCCTTCTTTGCCTCAGTCTTTAGTAACAAGACCAGTTGTACTGAGGGAATCCAGCCTCCGCAGCCAGAAAACCTTACCCCAAAAAGGCCATTGAGTGACTCGAGCGTGGCCAGAGAAGGGCAACGGAGCTGGGGCAGGGTCTGGAGCACAGGTCTGCTGGGGAGCGGCTGGGGGAACTGGGGGGTTCAGTCTGGAGAAGAGGAGGCTGAGGGGAGACCTCCTGGCCCTCGGCAACTCCCTGCCAGGAGGGGGCAGAGAGGGGGGATGAGTCTCTGGAGCCAAGGAGCCAGCGCCAGGCCCCGAGGGAATGGCCTCAAGCTGCCCAGGGCAGGGTCAGGCTGGCTCTGAGGAAGGATTTCTGTGCAGAAGGGGCTGTTGGGCGTTGGAATGGGCTGCCCAGGGCAGGGGGGAGTCCCCGGGATCCCTGGAGGGGTTGAAGAGTCGGGCTGAGCCAGCGCTGAGGGATCTGGGGGAGTTGGGAATGGTCAGGGGGAGGGTCATGGTTGGACTAGAAGATCTTCAAGGTCCTTTCCAACCTAGATGATTGTGATTCTGTGACAAACACCATCACTCTGAACATCCCCCCCTTCCTCCTTCCTCCCCCAGCTCTACAGGCTGAGCATGACGCCGTACGGGCTGGGACATCCCTTGGGTCAGTTGGGGTCAGCTGTCCCGGCTGTGTCCCCTCCCAGCTCCTTGTGCCCCCCAAGCCACTCGCTGGTGGGGTGGGGTGAGGAGCAGCAAAGGCCTTGGCTCTGTGTGAGAGCTGCTCAGGGAGAACAGAAACATCCCTGCGTTAGCCACGCCGTTTCCAGCACAAATCCCAAACAGAGCTCATCCTAGCTACTATGAAGAAAACTAACTCTCCCCCTAGGCAAAACCAGCACATTTAGGAATAAATATAACACCACAAAAGCAAAGCAACGTGAGGCTCTGCACCACAGCAAGAGGCCCAGGACACCCAGCCAGCCGCTCACCCCTTCCCGCTATCTTCTCCCTCCCCACAGCGCGGCCAACATGGCGGCCTCGGCGCCCGCCTCACGCGCCCCTTCCCGCCAAA